TTTCCAAAGAGTCCTAAAAGTATGAGTTTTGGTGCTCAAACTTGTTCTGGGGCAAAATCTGACTTGAACTGACTTGGAATAATAGTCTTTATCCTACTTAGTATAAATGTTCATACATTTCACTGTTGCTGTATTGTATTGTAGACTATTCTATGTTACATAAGTAGAGCAATTATGAACCTATCTAATCCTATTGGTTTCAGAGAAGCAATGTGTACCTTCCAGCCAGCATTAGATGCTTATAGTCCCTTTCATTACTCTTCCCTGTACTTCCAATACCTTGTTCCTAATTAGCCATGGACTGGGAATTTTTTAAAATTTATTTTTGTACCAGTACTGGGGTTTGAACTCAGGTCTTGGATGCTGTCCCTTAGCATTTTTGCACAACTCTAGCACTCTACCACTTGAGCCATAGCTCCACTTACAACCTTTTGGTGATTCATTGGAGATGAACCACATGGACTTTTCTGCCCTGGCTGACTTCAAACCACGATCCTCAGACCTCAGCCTCTGGAGAAGCTAGAAACTTTTACTACACAATAAAACTTAGACATTTTTTTAAAATCATGGATTCATATTGATACTCCTAGTTCTAGTGATATGCCATAGTGTTCATGTGCTTCTCTATTCCAGAACTTCCTTCTTCCTGTTAGAGAAGAAATTATTCATGATCTTCCTTAAATGACAAAGAAGATCTGATTTAAGAGACCACTGCAGTGTGATTTTTCAGTAATAGAGAGATTGGTCTCAACTCTTTTATTTTTTTTTTTTGGATGGGGGGTCAGTCATAGGACTTGAACTCAGGGCTTGGGCACTGTCCCTAAGCTCTTTTGCACATGGCTAATACTCTAGCACTTTGAGCTGCAGCACCACTTCTGATTTTTAAGTAGCTAATTGGAGATAAGAGTCTCACAGGGAGTTTTCTGTCAGTGCTGGCTTCACTGCAATCTTCAACAGAATAGCTTAGATTGGATTATAGGTGTGTGCCACTGGTGCTGGGTTTGGTCTCAACTCCTAATGCAGCAAGAAAAAGTAGAGCAGAATGCAGAGGGGGGTCTGTCAGTGGGTAGAAAATTGTGGAGAGGAATCCAGGCTGGGGAGATTCTTTTTTTTATTGTCAAGGTGATGTACAGAGGGGTCACAATTAACATAATTCAGGATATGACTATATTTCTTTTTGAAGAGTGTCACGTCTTCCCTCATTTTCTCCCAGTTTTTCCCTCCTGATCCCCCTGGTGAGATTCTTTTTATATATATATGTTTTTTTAATTGTAAAAATGCTGTACAGAGGGGTTACAGTTGCATGAGTAAGGTAATGAGTACATTTCCTATTGTGCATTGTTGCCTCCTCCTTTGTTTTTCCCCTACCATCCCTTCCCTCCCACCTCCACACCTACTCCCCGCTCTCCCTCTGCCAAAGTTGTGAAGTTCATTTTCAACATAGAGTCTTGTACGTCTCGTTACAATGGGTCAACCTGTATCCCTGTTTAAGCATTTTGTTTTTACCTTTCCCTCCCTAAATTAGAAAAGTGTATATATAAGATGCAGGGCACCGGAATCAAATACAGTGAAAACAAGTTATTATTTACCATAGCTAAGATATGGAACCAACCCAGACGCCCCTCAGTAGATGAATGGAACAAGAAAATGTGGTACACACACACACACACACACACACACACACACACACACACACACACACACACACATACATACAAAGGGAGATTCTTGTTAGAACAATTCAGCTGGATTCTGCTAATGAGAGGTCCAGGTGATTAAGCTATTTAGGGTAAGAAATGAGGAATCTGATCAGATATAAGAGTGATCAGTTGGGCTGGGAAGGTGGCTCAGTGGTAGAGCGCTTGCCTTGCATGCATGAGGCCCTGGGTTTGATTCCTCAGCACCACATAAGAAAAAAGAAAAAAGTAGGAAGTGGTGCTGTGGCTCAAGTGGTAGGGCACTCGCCTTGAGCTGAAGAGCTGAGGGATAGCACCCAAGCCCAGAGTTCAGGCTCCACGACCAGACCCAAAAAAAAAAAAAAAAGTGATCGGATACCAAGGGGTAGGGGATTTTTGCTTAAAAACAAACACCTAGGGGCTGGGAAGGTGGCTCAGTGGTAGAGCGCTTGCCTTGCATGCCTGAGGCCCTGGGTTCGATTCCTCAGCACCACATAAGCAAAAAAGAAAAAAGCTGGAAGTGGTGCTGTGGCTCAAGTGGTAGGGCGCTAGCCTTGAGCTGAAGAGCTGAGGGACAGCACCCAGGCCCAGAGTTCAGGCCCCACGACCAGACCCCCCAAAAAAAACAAACACCTAGCCAGCATTGGTGGCTCACGCCTGTAATCCTAGCTACTCAGGAGGCTGAGATCTGAGGATTGCAGTCCAAAGCCAGCCCGGGCAGGAGAGACCGTGAGACTCTTATCTCCATAAATCACCAGAAAACCAGAAGTGGCACTGTGGCTCAACCGGTAAAGTGCTAGCCTTGAGCTGAAGAGCACAGGGATAGCACCCAAGCCCAGAGTTCAAGCCCCACGACCGACAAAAAAAAAAAAAAAAGATTCTTGTTAAAAAGGCCTAAGTGGCTTTAGTCAAAGACAGGGCTTGAAAGAGCCTGACTCAGGTTTGATTAAAGGATTAAGTCTTTGTCATTCCATAACGAGAATATTTCTTTTGTGTTAAAAAAAAAGTCTAGGCTGGGAATGTGGCTTAGTGGTAGAGTGCTTGCCTAGCATGCATGAAGCCCTGGGTTCTATTCCTCAGTACCACATAAACAGTAAAAAAAAAAAAAAAAATTTCAGGAACAGTGCCCAGGCCCTGAGTTCAAACCCCAGGATTGGCATAAAATAAAAGTCCTAGGCTAGATGCCAGTGGCTCAGGCCTGTAATCCTAACTACTCAGAAGGCTGAGATCTGAGGACTGAGGTTTGAAGCCAGCCTGGGTAAGAAAGTGTGAGACTTTTATCTTCAATTAACCGCCAGAAAGCCAGATGTGAAGTTGTGGCTCAAGTTGCAGAGTACAAAAGGTTTTTTTCCTTGAACAAAAAAGCTGGGGGTAGCACCCAGGCCCAGAGTTCAAGCCCCAGGACCAGCAAAAAAAAGCCTTTCTATTTAACCATTATGCAAAATGTTTCTTCTGGCATGTGAAAATTTAGATTGATACTGTGACTTAGATATTAGGTACTTCATTTCATGATGACTTCAGACTATGATAGCTATCAGCATTTAGTGTATTTCAAATTAAAATTATATTGATGTAAAACCTTCTAAAAATAACACATATAATTTGAGGCAAAACAACCAGAATTATATAGAGAGAGTAGCTGTTGGGTGCTCATTTCTGGGAACATCGTACCCCTTACCCTTCTACATGGAGTGGGAATTTGGTGGTTAAAGTGCTCATTGTAGTCAGATTGCTAGGGGAAAATGGAAAGAATCATCCATTTGTTGAAGATTTACCTACTGAAGACCTTCGCAGTATATTGACTTAGAATGAGGCAGCGAGGATGGATTGTTTTAAGACTGTAATCTTTCATTTTAACTTTTTTTTGAAAATGGAAAAAGGGGCCTGAGTGGGTAGGAAGGAAGGTTCTACAGATAACTTTCAAGAGTGGGTTCTTTTATTTCAAGTCTTCTTCGGTAGAGAGGAAAGGAAGAAAGCAAAATATAACTGAAAGTGTTACAAAGTGGCTTTCTCTGGACTCTCTCATTTGCTGCTTTTATCACACAGAGCAGAAAAAGGAGAGAGTTTGTTTTCAGTGAGCTCTGCTTTCCCTCTCCAGCCTGGCCCTGGTAGTTGCCCAGTTCAGAACAGGGAGCCCTAGCTAGTGCAGGAGTAATGAGATGAACCCCTGAGTATCATGGAGAGTAGGAGAAGGACTGTGTGTTTATTGACTACTTGCTCCATGTCAGGTTCTGTACCATGTCGTCACATTTTGTGAACTGGGGCTGGGAATGTGGCTTAGTGGTAGAGTGCTTGCCTAGCATGCATGAAGCCCTGGGTTCGATTCCTTAGGACCACCTAAACAGAAAAAGCCAGAAGTGGCACTGTGGCTCAAGTGGTAGAGTGCTAGCCTTGAAGAAAAGAAGCTCAGGGACAGTGCTCAGGCCCTGAGTTCAAGCCCCACGACTGGTAAAAAAAAAATATTGTGAACTGGTAGGTTAAACACAAAAATTATACATATTAAATATTAAAGGATTAACATGTAATAGTCAATACATGTATAGATTACACAATACTTAAAGCTCCTAAAATATTTCTCATTTCTTTGGGATAAAAACTTTCACAATCCTTTCTTCTAGTGTCTTAAATGCACAGTACAAAATTGTCACCATATTGTGCAACAGTACCCTAGTGTTTCTTGCCCCCAGGTAATTATAACTTGATGAGATTTTCCTTCAGTAATCCCTTTCCCACCATCCGGGCCTCTGAGAGCCACCATTTTCCTCTCAACTTCTGTGAGATCAACTTTTTAAGGTTCTCCATGTGAGTAAGATCATTCGGTACTTGATTGGTATACCTGGATTGTCTCACCCACCTTCTATAGTCAGTGCGCTGTACCCATGGTGAGCGGGTCTCTCTTGACACGTATGATCCCTTGCATGTCAGTCAACCTGTCATTTCCAATCACAGAGCCTTTTGAGTCTACTTTGAGTGTGGTAGAACTATGATTTTTAGAGAAACACATTTGGGAAAATTGCCAAGTACAAAATTAGTAGTGTTTATTTGGGAAAAAAAAATTCAGATTCTATCCCAGGTTACTTTTCTATTGCTACTGGTAACACTACTAGGAACATATTTGTGTTAAAAAGAAACTGTTTTTAAGGTTACTTCATAGAATAAATGTGCTTTTCTCTTCGAATTATTTTCTTAAACTTGCTACGTCAGAACACGTAGACTACAGAATCATTTCATTTTCCCAGCCAGTAGTACTATGTTACTACATGAACACTTTATTTCTCCAAATATTAATTGTAATTTTGTATATTATTTTTCATCTCTTAATAGGGAGAGATAATGCATGTGAGAAAACATCATATATGTTTCTACGAAAGGAGCTTCCTGTGCGACTGGCCAATACAATGAGAGAAGTTAATCTTTTACCTGATAACTTACTGAACCGCCCTTCCGTGAGATTGGTTCAGAGTTGGTAAGTAAATATCGGGGCTTATAATGAATCTTCCCTACAATGCTCTGAGCATTTGGCAGTGTAACTATTCTCCACAAGAGCATGCCTGTGTGGGAATGAGTCAGTCAAGAGAGCTGGGTTTTCCGTGACATTAAAAGTCTTTTTACAGCTGCTCGTTTAGTTGTTTTCATGAAAATATTCTAAAGCATAACAGACACTTTTTTGATCTTGTGAATTTTATTTTTTCTGGGTCTAAATGTGAGTTCTCATTTAAAAACCTTGCAAATAAGGACTAGCAATATAGTGATCCTCGGTGAACGGTTTGCCCTCCTTCAACTAAGATGTTTCCTATTTTAATTATGAATCCACTTTGTTTTCCTTTATGAGACACTCCATGAAGGTAGTATTCTGTAACAAACAGATCATGTCATTTTTAAGGGGAACATCAGGTCAGATTGGAAAAAATAGCAACTCTGTTCTATGCTTTGTCTCCCCTATGAAAAGACAGGCAAGTCTTCACAGTAAAACTTTGAAGTTTGATCAGTTATAGCTCTGAAACATAAAGCATGTGTTATTTCACTGAAGAACTAGAATTTGTGATGGAACTCCCCAATAATGAACTGGGTAGGATCTATGAGTGGTCGGATGTAAGAACAGGTGCTGTGTCTTTAAAAAGGTATTTGCATAGATTTGTGAAGTATTTGCACGTCTACTCTTGTTATAAAAGCAAGGTAGAAGTCCCTGGGGAAAGATACAAGACTTAGGGAGGCCAGGGCTATAGGAATGTAGGGGGTTGGCAGAAAAATAGCTGTGGTCTTGTGTTGCTCCTTGATGGGGTGGTGGCATGACAGATGAAGGGAACACTGTGGAAAGATATAAGGAGAATGGAATTGTTAAATAGCTCGAATTTGGAAGCCTTGTAGAGGCCAGGCCACCAAAAGAGAATATATATTCAGCAGTCATTCCTTAATAATAATATAATAAATTCTTAAAGGTAAAAATGAATCGGCCAGGTGCCGGTGGCTCACGCCTATAATCCTAGCTACTCAGGAGGCTAAGATCTGAGGATCGCAGTTCAAAGCCAGCCTGGGCAGGAAAGTCCATGAGACTCTTATCTCCAATAAACCACTAGAAAACCCTAAGTGGCGCTGTGGCTCAAGTGGTAGAGCACTCGCCTTGAGCTGAAGAGTGCAGGGACAGCGCCCAGGCCCAGAGTTCAAGCCCCACAGCCGACAAAAAAAAAAAAAAAAAAATTATCTGAGAAGCATTATATTGGATGGTCTTAAAGGTACAGTGTCTCTCTGATCCCCTTCCCAGAAAAGCAGGAGCTCCTGACTGTGAAGTTCAAAGCCTTAGAAAGATCAGAAAATGGTAACCATAGCTTTGATATCAGGTTCACTTGAATTCTGCTCTGTAGTCACAGCTTGTTTGAGAAGGAAGAATCAGGAAGTACTGTGTACATGAGGTTTCTTTATTGCTTTAAGACCATCACTAGAGATTTTTCAGAAAGCATAAATCACTGTCACAGGCCACTAGGAATTCTAGGTAAGCAAGATCAAATCACTTGCTATGAGAGGTGGTAACTGTCATACATTTTGCATTGCTTATGTAAATTGTAGTTGCTTCAAAGATTTCAAGATAAATTGCTGGCCCTGACGTGTTTTCCAACCAACAACCAATTCTCCCATCTCTGGACACCAAGTGTGTGTTTCACAACTCAGTTAAAACCTAAATATCTGAAGTCAGCACAGACCCCCACAGCTTAAGGGCTCCTTGGCCCATCAAGAATGACTACCCCCTTTCAGATGCAGCCTCAACTTCTGATTGGCTGTAAATTAGGTTTGATAATTTTGCTAGAATGGCTCACAGAACCCAAGGAGACGCTTTGCCTATGTTTATAGTCATACCATGAAAGATAACAACTCAGGAGCAGCCTAGTAGAAGAAACAAACTGACTCAGGTATGGGAGGTGTGTGCTCTGTGCTCATGTCTCTCCCTCTCCCCATATTTGTATGTGTTCAGATGCCTAGAAGCTTTCCCAAGCTTGTTAAAATAATTTTTATGGATCTAGGTCTCCAGACTCCAACCTTCCCAGTGGTTCAGGGAGGGGGAAAAGTCCCAGCCTTCTACATACTGGGGTGAGTGTCCCTGAGTTATCTAGGGGCTCCAACCTAAGTCAATCTCATTATTAGCATAAATTCTCCTGAATTAAAATGAATTCCTCATGAATGATAGGAGAGATCCCTCTCATTCAGGAAAGGGTTTTAGAAACTGTGGCAGGAATTGGCTGGGGAACATTAAATGAGTTTTTATATTATACCAAATGCCAAACTGGCAAAATAGAGACAAACAAATTGCTATATCCACCCTTTTTTTGGGGTCTCTTCTCCATTCTTCTTCTATATCCATTCCAAACACATGGGTACATGTCATTTCTTCCTGTTCATTCTATTTTGAAAAACAATTTCCTACTTTAGAGAAGGGTTGCAAGACTAGTAGCAAGAGTTTATTGCGTTAACAGTTGGCTACATTTGATCTGTAATCATTACCCACATTCATATTCTGTGTATATGTATCTATTATGTGTGGATATACACACACCCACATATAGGAAAGTTGTCAGAGTTATAGTGAAGTTGTTTGTGCCAAGCTTAACAACAACAACCAAACCCAAATAAATAAAGCTAGGATGTTTTGAAGAAAGACTTGTTAGTAACTGTCACAAGACTGCGCCCGAACCACAAGCCTGCACAGAGGCCACTGAGCCTTATCCAGTTCTATAAGGACATGTGGCCAGCGATAGCAACTTCTGACTGCCACTCTTGTTATTAGTCATTGCGGCCCAAGATTATTGTCTGAAAGTATCTGATGTAATCCTCCTCGTGTCTATTTTAAAAATCTTGGCTTGCTTCAAGGCAAGATTATAAAAACAAACTGCATCCTATTGTTTACTATGCATGGCATGCTGGGTGTTCAGAGTACCATTCTCCTCCGTTCCCATTGCCCTGCTATTCTCAAGGAAATGTCCGTATCCTTTGGAGAAGGTCTTTCTGATTTTTTTACCATTTTGATTGACATACACATTTCTTTCTCCTGAGCCATTTGGAATAAGGTAGACTTTATAGCCCTTTGCCTCTAAATATTTTAGCATGGTCTCCTGGAAGTAACTCTTAAAAACCAGCAATATGATCATCCTATGCAGGAAGTTTACAGTGATACAATAAATATTTTCTAATATGTCAAACTGGTTATCATTTTATTAATTGCCTTAGTAGTTTTTCCTTTCTCTCCTTTTCTTGTTTTCCTTTTTTCTTTTAGTCTTTCTTTCAGAGTTTTCCCTTCTGAGTTTAGATTCCAGTGAAGATCACTCATTTGTGTGTCTTTGTCATGCTCTTTTGCTTTAGAAAGGTGAATTTTCTATCTGGGCACTGGTGGCTCATTCCTGTAATCTTAGCTGAGGAGGCTGAGATTAAGAATCATAGTTCAAAGCCAGCCTGGGCAGGAAAGTCCATGAGATTCTTATCTCCAATTAACCACCAAAAAGCTGGAAGTAGAAGTGTGGCTGAACTGGTAGAATGCTAGCCTTGAGTAAAAAAGCTCAGGGACAGTGCTCAGGCCCTGGGTTCAAGCCCCAGGACCTACACAAAAAAAGTGAATTTTCTGCATGACAGACTATGGCCTACAATCACCCCTTTAGCCAAACTGTATTCTTGCTCTCTTGATTTTTCAGGCTAGGAATCGCAGCATAATCTTTGATTCCTCTCCATTTATGATTTTGCTTTTTGGAGGACTATCCCTTTTTGGAAAGGAGAAAGGATGCAGGTGTGACTTGACTTGTGTGTGACAGGACAGAGGGCCTCAATGGAGTTGGCCACATTGGACTTCTTAGTGTGATGTGACCTGATAACTTTAAAGGACACTTTGTGCACCCAAAAACTTTTTTTTAAAATACCTGGATATGAGTATATTATAGTTTCAAATGCACTGTCACAAAGTTCATGAATCAGATGTCATACTTGTTTATATATTTATATATGCAACATTATTTTTAGTCATTGGATAGTCCTTATCCTTTATAATAGGATTAGCGGCAATTAATTGTCAGAAATGATTTCAAGACGTTAAGCCCCAAATTGGAATATCTGAATTCACAGTAGATCTAGCAGGTCCCTGCTGGATGTAACTGCCACATTAATGTGCCTCTCTGAATACCATTTTTCTATGTTCTTCAGATCTTAGTGTTGTCCTCATGTTTTCTTAACCAGGCCCTTATTGAGATATGTAGCTCTTCTTAACCCAGAGGCTGTTTCTGTGGACCTAAGATACATTCATCTGTTATGTCTTGATGGAATTACTTTTACCCTGGATTCTAGATCTGTACTTAAGTATCATCACACATCCTTCGTAAAATTTATGTGTACTTTTTAAATAAGCAAACTGTAGACTTGGGATTATCAGTTAGGATATGTTTGTAATTGTCAACCAGGCAATAGGACATGACATTTACAGTTAGAAGGCCCAATCATAAGATCAATTTTTGGTGTTGGCCTGAGTCACAGATTCACAAGACTACTGAAGCCCTGTTTTTCATAGTGTTGGCTTCACCTTCAGGCTAGAGTCACTCTGAATGGCAGAATAGATACGGCACTTGCAGAACTATTTTCTACAAACCCCACTGTACAGAGGAAGATTTCTTTCCCAGGGTCTTCCAGCAAGTCTTCTCTCTTATCGACCCAAATTGTGGTAGTATGTCTACTCGTGAGCTCATCCCTGTGTTCAGGGGAATACACACAATTATCAGCTTATACCTGGACTACCAGACAAACTAATAATCAGTGATGAGAGAAATGGGATTACCCAGAGGAGAAAATAGGGCAACTCCTACACTGGAGGTACTAGCACTTCCACTTGAAGCCTGAGGTAACAACTTCTGATACACTTTAAGTGTACGTGGGGGTAGGATGAAATTTAAGAGTACTCTTGTACAGAAGGAAAGGAGGAGTGAATGGTAGGCAGACAGCTAACACGGTTAACTCTTCTTTTTGTAGGTATATGCAGAGTTTCCTTGAACTTCTAGAATATGAAAACAAGAGCCCCGAGGACCCACAGGTCTTGGATAAGTAAGTATGGTACTACTTACCTAAAAGTAAAAACATAGATAGGCAAAAAAGAATTTTCCGAAATGAAACTCAGGCCATTAAGATCCAAGAATTATAACCCAGACATAAAACATTAATTTTCTTAGTGGGTAATGCATGACTCAGTCATGGCTTTTAAAAAAAAGTGAGCTAAGCATTGAGCATAGTACACAAGGAGTAATGACATTTCAAAGGAATGCTTCAGGACCCATTTCTTAATACTTTAGTCAAGGTAAACTGGGCACCAACTATAAACATTGCAGTAAATGTTCCATCTAGTGGTAGTTTTAAGAATGCACTGGTAAAATGAACTCCCAAGAAATGGAAACAAGAAATTCCTTATTGTACTGTTTGCAGTTATTTCTTTTTTCTTCTTTTTCCCCCCCTTTGGTTTATTCCCTTTTGTCACTAGTTTTGATTTCTGTACCCTTTGTCTTGTATATAAGTTTATCTGATTTGGGGTGGGGAAGGGGAATCACAGAAACAATGGGACTATGGGTGAACCAATTTAGCAGTGATACTCACTAGACACTGTGTTGGAAATGAACTTTATAACCTGGGGGAGGGGAAAAAGTGGGAGAAAATGAGGGAGGGGGGAACACTGTTCAAAAAGAAATATACTGATTACCTTTTTATATAACGGTAACCCCTCTATCTGTCAACTTTACAATAAAACTTTAAAAGAGGGCTGGGAAGGTGGCTCAGTGGTAGAGCACTTGCCTTGCAGGCTCGAGGCCCTGGGTTCGATTCCTCAGCACCACATAAGAAAAAAGCTGGAAGTGGCGCTGTGGCTCAAGTGGTAGAGTGCTAGCCTTGAGCTGAAGAGCTGAGGGACAGCGCCCAGGCCCAGAGTTCAAGCCCCACGACCGGACCCAAAAAAAAAAAAAAAAAAAAAAAAACTTTAAAAGAAAAAGAATACAGTGGCCTCCATATGTTCATGAGTTTATTTACCCAAATCTTTACCATTTAAAATGTTTTCCAGTGGGTCATTTCAGTTGAGCCCAGAAACTACAACTATTTTATTATGAAGAAGCATTAAAGACCATGCTTTTTATTTAATATCTTGAAATCTCTGTTGCTGCCATTATAAACAAAGACTACTAAATTTTCAGTATGATGAAATGTATGTCTTTTTTGTTTTTATTTTTGGAGGTACTAGGAACTCAACTCAAGATGTTATACTTTGGGGCTGGGAAGGTGGCTCAGTGGTAGGGCGCTTGCCTTGCATGCATGAGGCCCTGGGTTCCATTCCTCAGCACCACATAAGCAAAAAGAAAAAAAAGCTGGAAGTGGCGCTATGGCTCAAGTGGTAGAGTGCTAGCCTTGAGCTGAAGAGCTGAGGGACAGCATCCAGGCCCAAAGTTCAGGCCCCACGACTGGACTCCAAAAAAAAAAAGACAAGAGGTTATGCTCTCTAGGACAAGATCCACTATTTGACACTTGAGCCATGCCCCAGCCTTTTTGGTTTGCTTGTTTTTCAGATAGGGTCTTATACTTTTGCCTGGGTGAGCCTTGGCCTAAGAGCCTCCTACCTTTGTCTCTTGAATAGCTGGGACTTGTTTTTCTTCTTTATTTATTTTTTTTTTGGTGGTACTGGAATTAAACTCATGACCTTTTGCTTGCGAGGCTGACACACTGACACTAAACAACACTTCCATCCTTGCTTTTTCATTATTATTATTTTTTCTTTTTTTCTTTTGTCAGTAGTGGGCCTGGGTGCTGTCCCTCAGCTCTTCAGCTCAAGACTAACACTCTACCACTCAAGCCACAGCGCCACTTCTGGCTTTTTTCTTTTTGCTTATGTGGTGCTGAGGAATCGACCCCAGGGCCTCATGCATGCAAGGCAAGCACTCTACCACTGAGCTACCTTCCCAGCCCCTACACTGGTTATTTTTGAGATAGGGTCTCACTTCTTGCTTGGGCATGAACCTGTACCACAATCCACCTGCTTTAGGCATCCCATTGTTGTGTAATCTTTTTTTTTTTTTTTTTGGGTCCGGTTGTGGGGCCTGAGCTCGGCCTGGGTGCTGTCCCTCAGCTCTTCAGCTCAAGGATAGCACTCTACCACTTGAGCCACAGCGCCACTTCCGGCTTTTTTCTTTTTGCTTATGTGGTGCTAAGGAATCGAACCCAGGGCCTCAGGCATGCAAGGCAAGCGCTCTGCCACTGAGCCACCTTCCCAGCCCCTGTTGTGGAATCTTAAGTGCATGTGAATGGAACCTTACAGACATTTCTCCCTGAGCTGGTCTGAAACTATGATCTTCTCAATCTCTGCTTCCCACATAGCTTGAGATGACAGGCATGCACTGCAGCTACTGGTTGAGAAGGGGTTTTCTGAACTTTTCTGCCCAAGCTGGCATTGAACTATAGTCTTGCCAAGTAGTTAGGGTTATAGGTATAAGCCACCAGTGCCCAGCTTGGTTTTCCATTTTTATTCAGCTAGAAAATCCCAACCCCTAATATATGAGTGCCATCTTACCCGCCTTCTGGGAGAAATAAAATCTCTCCATCGTAATTTGTTCCTATTCCATGTATGTATAAGTGAGTGCCTCTTGTGCTGAGAAATTTCTTTTTTGTCAGTAATGGGGCTTGAACTCAGGGCCTGGGCACTGTCCCTGAGCTTTTTCTCTCAAGGCTAGTGTTCTACCAGCCACAGTACCACTTTCGGTTTTCTGGTGGTTAATTGGAGATAAGAGTCTCACAGATGGGGCTGGGAAGGTGGCTCAGTGGTAGAGCGCTTGCCTTGCATGTATGAGGCCCTGGGTTCGATTCCTCAGCACCACATAAGAAAAAGAAAAAAAAAAAAAGAGTCACAGACTTTGCTGCTCAGACTGGCTCTGAACTTTGATCTTCAGATCTCAGCCTCCTGAGTAGCTAGGATTATAGGCATGGGCCACAAGCACCCCGGCTGAGAAATTTCTTTGGTTTATATAAATGTAATCCATTTATTTGTGAGACAGACACTTGACATATAGATATCCCATAAAAAAAAACTAGGGAAAACCCACACTATTCAAACAACTTTAAGAGGTATTTAATCCAGACTTTTAAGTTCGCAGAGAAGGAAACAGGTCAGAGTTGGTGAGAGTTCCTAATAGAGCTGGACCTAGAAGTCATAGTTCCCTTCCTCTAGTATACTTGTTCTTTACAATGCACATTGCCAGAATGACTGGCTCAATTAATCTGAAGGGATTAATTAAAATATAAAGGGGAAAATCCCCTGAGCTATTTTTTTTCCTCTGCTAGAGTGTTTGTCTAATGGATCTGTGAAATGTGAAAGGGGCGAGCATTGGGTTAGAGGCCCAGACACAGTGGTTTCCTTGCTGTAAGCCACTGCTGTCATTTAATATGTTTACACTACATGATTTGAATCCATGAGCCTTGTTTTCTCAAAATTCATTAGGAAGTAACAATATGTTGGGCTGAAATCCTCAAAATTAGTTTGCCATTTTTTATAGTTTTTTTTTTTTTAGTTTGCCATTTTTATTCATGGAAGAGGCTATTGCTTCAAGACTTTATTAATAAATTCTTGGGGACTTTTGAGAGAGTATCTTCATATTTTCAAAAGAAATACTAATATGCTCATTTGTAGGACTTGTATTTTCTGTAGCCACTTACACAAAAAGCTAGTCCCTTCCTATGAAGATATTTGAACATGTTTTTCTTTACTATAGAACCTTTTGCTTTTGGCATCTCTGAAAAAGAAAATTTCTGTGTTAAGTTTCATGTAAAATAAATAGTTTTTTGTGTGAATGCTTCCTTATACAACCTAATGAGATTGGTGTCTTGACCTATTAGAATACTAGCAGATAACTAGATTGGAGACAGCTGGGAATTTTGTGCACCAAGCTATGAGATAAAGATTGACCAGATTTTGCTTGCTTCTCACACAGCTTTCTACAAGTTTTGATCAATGTGAGAAACAGACATAACGATGTGGTTCCTACAATGGCACAAGGAGTGATCGAATACAAGGAGAAGTTTGGGTTTGATCCCTTCATTAGCAGTAACATCCAGTATTTTCTGGATCGATTTTACACCAACCGCATATCTTTCCGCATGCTTATTAACCAGCACAGTAAGTTGGATTTTGAAAAGGTAACTCAGAGTGATTTCTCCCCCCAAAAAATGTTCCTATTGCTTTACATTTAATGTATTATTATACAGACTTTTTTTTTTATGGTCTCAGGGCCTGAATTCTGGGCCTGGGCGCTGTCCCTCAGTTCTTCAGCTCAAGGCTAGCACTCTATCACTGAAGCCACAGCACCACTTTCAGCTTTTTTCTGCTTATGTGGTGTTGAGGAATCAAACCCAGGGCCTCATGCGTGCGAGGCAAGCACTCTACCACTGAGCCACCTTCCCAGCCCCTATACCAAAATTTTTATTGTAGAAATTCCATTTCTAGTTTAGTTTTTCCTCAGTGAACCCTATCTACTAAAAAGCAATTCATATTCTTGATTAAAGTGACCTTTGAAAGCCATTTATGAAGGTCAGAAACAGGACCACTGTCACCCTTTTTAAAAACAGAAATGTGTGACAATATACAAGGGAAAAGAACTTAGATTCTATTCAACTCATCTACTTCAATAACTGCGGTTTCCGTCTAATCTAACCATACATATTTAAGTGCTGGTTTTAATAGCACTGGTTAAGCTTATTCACTTCTGTTTTTCTTCCTCTTGACCAGTTGGAACTTTACTTATATATTGTCCTGATGGCTATATTTATAATGTTTCATAATTTAAAATCTCTCCTATTTTAGTTAAGCAGTTTTGGTGGAGTCTAAGTTATTACCAATTTTTGCTTGATTTAAAAATAAGGAAGCCAGGCAACAGTTGCTCACGCCTGTAATCCTAGCTACTCGGGAGGCTAAGGTCTGAGAATCATGCTTCAATGCCAGCCCTGATGGGAAAGTCTGTGAGACTCTTATCTCCACTAAACTGCCCCCCAAAAAGTGGGAAGTAGAGCTGTTGCTCAAGTGGTAGAGCATTACCCTTAAGCAAAAGAAGCTCAGGAATAGTGTCCAGAGCCTGATTTCAAGCCCCAGGACTGGCACCCCCCCCCCAAAAAAAAAAAACCAAAAAACTAGTATGCCTATAAACATTTGGATTGAGATTGAGTCTTTGAGACTTGTTTTGGCTTTTCATCAGCAATGAACTTTTACAAATCTTGCATAGGATGAAATCACCTGAAAGCTATTTAAAAACTGTATTTGAACATGTCATTGGCACACAATCTCCTTGATGGAGGAATTTTCAAGGCTGCCAGTGAAAGATAGTTCACAGGCCTGTCCACATGGTGCGGGCTTGGTGCTCCTAATGTTTAGCAAATGTTGGAGTAAATATCCAGAGTAGTCCTGAGAAGATGGATAAACTTGGCTAAGGATAAAAGTAAATTTCTTCATCCAAGTCACATTGGCTGGGAGAGAAAGAGTTGGACCCCTGCCATGTGCTCTACTGCTTCTGGATTGTAGCTAATACGTCTTAAAACACATCATTCCTCCTTAGTTGGATGTTGGTGTTGCTCATCCACCAAATGATCTAAGTCATTATGGATGTGAGAATGATTCCTCCAAAGTCAAGATCCTTTTAGGACTTATTAGTCCCTTTCACTGCTTAACCATCCCAGCCTGCTGTGTGTTAATCCTTTCCCTTCTCTTTTGTGTTCATTTAGCTCTTCTCTTTGGCGGTGACACAAACCCAGCTCACCCTAAACACATTGGAAGTATCGATCCCACATGTAATGTGGCTGATGTAGTGAAAGGTAAGGAAACAAATGCTGAGTTGCTGACATCGCATTGTGGTTAATCTGTGTAGTAGACCCAAGCCACTTAATCCAGTTATGAATCTTCTATACAGTTGAAGAAAATAGACATAATTTGGAATGCTCAAAATGGGAATTTTCACTTCATTTGTCAGAGTTGTACTCAGAGTAAATAAATATTCTAAATTTTGACTTACCACGATTATCTGACTATATTGTTTATTATAAAATGAGGCTGGCTGGGTACTGGTGGCTCACGCCTATAATCCTAGCTACTCAGGAGACTGAGATCTGAGGATTGCAGTTGGAAGCCACCCCGTGTAGGAAAGTCCCTGAGCCTCTAATCTCCAGTTAACCACCAGAAAACTGGAAGTGGCTCAAAGTGGTAGAGTGCTAGCCTTGGGTGAACAAGGCTCAGGGATAGCACCAAGGCCCTGAGTTCAAGCCCTACAACTGACACCCCTCCCTGAAAAAAGGGCAGAATTCATGTAATTGTAGAATTTAAACATCTTTCCTTTTTTATCTTGTGCCCATACTGGGGCTAGAACTCAGGGTCATATATTTTTGTTTGGCTTTCTTACTCATGGCTGGTCCTCTGCTACTTGAGCCACACTTCTAGTCCTGAATCTTTTGTTTTCATGCTAGTACTGGGGCTTGAACTCAGGGCCTCATGCTCTTGCTTGACTTTTTTGCTCAAGGCTGGAGCTCTACCATTTGAGCCACAGCTCCACTTGTAGCTTTTTTTCTAGTAAATTGGAGATCAAACGACTTAAGAGACTTTGCTACGCAGGCTGGCTTCACACTGAGATTCTTCGATCTCAGCCTCCTGAGAAGCTAAGATTACAGGCCTGAACCCCCAGGGCCCAGCTAGTGTCCTACATTTTGCTAGTTAGTTGGAGATAGAGTCTCACAGAGATAACTACCTGAGCTACTTTAACCCTCCAGGTCTCAATCTCCTGAGCAGCTAGTATTACAGGCATGAACTACAGGTACCTGGCTCAAAGTCCAGCATCTTTCTATTGTGTACTCATGGTGTTAGAATCTACATAGCATGCGGGCTTAACTAGATTGTGTTTCAGTAGCCTCAGGATACAGTGAACCCAACAGTCATAGATTCCTGGTACCCAGGTACCTTGAATTTGACCAGCAGTTTCCTCATTATCCTTTAACATTAATTGAATCTCCAGAGCCTGCTGGCTGTGGATGATCTACCAGCTTCCTACCCCTCTTGGGTTTGTAGTCAATTGTGGGGCTTGAACTCAGGGCGCTGTCCCTGAGCTTTTTTTTGCTCAAGGCTAGTGCTCTACTGCTTTGAGCCCCAGTTCCACTTTCAGTTTTCTGTTCATTAATTGGAGATAAGAGTTGCGGGCTTTCCTGCCTGGGCTGACTTTGAACCACAATCCTCAGATCTCAGCCTCCTGAGTAGCTAGGATGACAGGCATGAGCCACCAGCACCCGGCTCCCTCCTAAAGGGAGTTTCTTTATGCAGCCTCAGATTCCGAACCTATTCCCCTTTCCCAGATTGGATCTCCTGTAAACGCCTATCTGAAGAGTTTACTTGACCACAACTCTTCCTAGTCTTCATTGAGGACTGTTGCTTGTGCACAGTCATAACTTAGGAAAATCTGTGCAATGTGTTTGTACGTAAATCCAGGGAGGAAGGCCCAGATGTATCTTTGCTAAGCTTGATTGCTGAGCTGTCTTGGCCTCTGTTTAGGTAGGAAGCCTTTATCCATATGACTTCTGTTTTGTGGTGACTCAACTTATGTATTGCACGTGTGCCTTTTCTTTTAAACGTGTTTTGTAACTCACATATGATCTAATGTAGTCCTTGTGTAGATGATTTATAAGTCTTTGGTTTGTTCATTACTTTTTAACTTTTCAGAAACTTACAAACTTGATCTAGACATAATTTTCATCCCACACAATTTACCAATTTAAAACATAGCTGCAGCTCCATGGTTTTCAGTCTATTCAGAGTTGTGCAACCATCACTACCATCCAAATTTAGAATGTTTTCTTTGCTCTCAAAAGACACTGTACCCATTACCAGTTACTCAACAACTGGTCCTCTGACTAGCCCCAGGCATCCACTAGTCCCCATTTGTCTCTGTGTAATTACCCTGTTGAGGACATTTCATGTAAAAATCATACAGTATATGGCCTTTAATGACCAGGTATTTTCACCTAGTATAAGATTCTCAAGGGCTGGGAAGGTGGCTCAGTGGTAGAGCGCTTGCCTTGCATGTCTGAGGCCCTGGGTTCGATTCCTCAGCACCACATAAGCAAAAAGAAAAAAGCCAGAAGTGGTGCTGTGGCTCAAGTGGTAGAGCGCTAGCCCTTGAGCTGAAGAGCTGAGGGACAGTGCCCAAGCCCAGAGTTCAGGCCCCACGACCGGACCCCCCCCCAAAAAAAAAAAGATTCTCAAGTGTCATTCATTTTATAAAAATGTATCAGCACTGCAGTCCTCCTTTATGGCTGAAAAATCACTTTACTTATGTATATAATCCATCATATTCATGAGATGGTGCCCATGTGGGTTGGCTGGGTAACCTTAAACATGGTACATAACATGTTCAGGCCTCACTTTACTGGTAGAATGATGCTTTTGAGGTTTTAGAAGAACTGAACAAGTGAACAGTGAGTATTTGATATTAAACAAATACTAATTTCTAAGTATGAAACTGGTATAGTGTTAATTTATATTATTTTATTTTTGCTGGTCTTGGGGCTTGAACTCATTGCCTGGGCACTGCCCTTAAGCTTCTTTTGCTCACAGTTAGCACTCTACTACTTGAACCACAATGCCACTTCCGGCTTTTTCCGACTCTTTTATTGGAGATAAGAGTGTCACAGACTCTTCTGCCTGGGCTGGCTTCAAACCAGAGCCTCAAATCACATCCTGTTGAGTAGCTAGGATTACAGGCATGAGCCACTGGCACGCTGCGGGTGTTAATTTTTCAGAAGAGTTCTGGCTTCTAGAGAGGTATGTTAAGTTCTACATGTGATTTGAAATGATATGTGGGAGTTGTTTCAAAATTACACAGAGGGTGGGGATGATCAGAGAGCCGGTTCTTGGTGGCAATTATTGAGGCGATTAAGCACACGGGGGTTTGTTGCACTGTGCTTTATAGTGTATGAAATTCTTCATGGGGAACATTTTGGAAACATTTAATCATCTCACTGTCATTTTCAGGGAGATGTTAAGAATGGGTAGATCTTGATATAAGGACTAGGAATTTTATGAAACTCTAACTTTTTCTATAGGATGGAGATTCATTGATGCTAAAGTGAGTCCAAGGCATGGCACTTCAAAGACAAATTGACTCTTAAAACCAAAAGAATCTATTGTTTTGTGGCGTTTATTATTTGTTTTATTCTATGGTGTTTAGTACATATTAATTAACTGGGCTTATCATTGCTGGTACTAATGTGCAAAAATTTTCCAAGCTCTGGTACATCACTCCTTTTACTGACAGAAATTCTATGCCCAAAACAAGATGTAAACTATGCAGAATACTTCAATATATATTTGAAAAAACAAACACACAAAAGCTCAGAAGTTTATTCAGTCTGCCTCTGAGCTGTTTGTGTTAGTCTTTTTTTCTGTCGTTGTGACAAAAATTAACCAACAGAGGAAGTTGATGTAGACTCACCATTTCAAATGTTTCAGCCCTTTGTTGCTTGACCCCTTTATTTTGGACCTATGATGCAACAGAACAAGATTTTTCCCTCAATGACTTAACTTACTTCCATTAGGCCCCGCCTACCACCATCCCCAGTCAGTGTCAGAGTCTGCAAACTCTGCCTTAACACATAACCTTTGGAAGAAGTTTGAAACCCAAACCGTAGCACTACTGTCTTCTTTGTATCTTTCTTTTCTTTCACAATTCAGGATGGGCTGAAAACTCTTCATTTTTTCTTTTTCTGTATGGATTCACAGTTTCTCCCCCCCCCCCCCTCTCTCTCTCTCTCTCTCTCTCTCTCACCTAGTTCCTAGTAGTATGAACAAAGTTTACTTGGAGCTCTGTGTAATCATTCCTATCATTGTTCAGTATAACAAAATACCTGGTGAAGTTCTATCCAATGGCAGTCACGCTCCATTCCTCTCTATAGCTCACAATTCTACTTCCTCTGATAGACCCACAAGGACAGGCACACAAACAGGCACACGTGCACACCTATACATCTTATCCTCACAGTCCGGGGCTAAGGAGAAGGGACTGGCATGCTTTCTGTTCTCCTGAACATCTGTAAGTGTTTTCACCTCTCTGTAACCTCTTCCTTTAATAGGGGGTGGTTTCAGATTTCTAAAGGAAATAAAAGCTGCTATAAAACAACACCTACATCATCAACTTCTGACACCCTTCCTTTTGTAAATCAGACATACCAGTACCAAAGAACACTAAATCACTTGGCTTGTACGTGTTTTCTAGAATACTTTTGTGCAGGGTATATGCTTATCTGGGTCATTTGTTTGTACCCAAACTATCTGCTATCTGTGTAAGTTATACTACTTGCTATAAGTACTTAATGTATTTAAATGTTACATAAGACAAGGAAGATCCCTCCCTCCATTAAAACAAAGTAGAATGCTTAGGAAGACTCAAAGGAAAGTCTTTTAAAAATATAATGAAATTATTGTGGGCAAGAAAATGATTAGAGTATAGGACAGAATATAGATCTTAGAAGGAATCCATTATCAGATTGCTTCACAAGTATCTGTAAGTTTGTAATACTTACCAATAAATAGCAATTGTAATTTATTGATGTGATGTTTATACAAGAAAAATGACCTAGAACACTTAATCATCCAGATGACCAGATTGACAGAAGAATATATTGTATATTTACATGTTCGCTTTAAGGTAATGTTTATGACTTCTCATTTTATCCTACTTTTTTTTTGTTGTTATCCAGTTCTCCTTCCCTCTTGGGCCACTTAAAAGGATTAATAACGTATTTCCCCAAATACAAAAAGCACTCACTAAAAAATATAG